AAATTTCTACGACACAAAATGAAAGAAGTCTTGGAGAATTTGACAGTCGCAGGATAACGTGAAGGCATAAAGAATGGGAAATTGTCAGCGGCTGACGTGAATGGATGCCAGAACAATAAGTGCGAGTGAATAGTAAAAAGACAAACAATGCTGTGAGCTACAAAGGATAGGACGTTGTGGAAACCATGATTATCTCGGCCCTGAATGAATTTGTTTGTTTTTGAAAATGGCTCAAATTCCTGGATGAGTTTTCATTGGTCTGAGCTGGATGCGAAAATCTTGTTCTGTTGAACCACAGAACAGAGAATTTTCTCATCCAGTAAAGATTGAACTCTTCTCAAACAAAAACTTAGGCCAATGAGAGCTCATCCAGGAAATTGAGTCATTTTCAACACAAACAAATTCACTTCATTTGGAAGGTTAGCACAATCTGTTTATGTGTCGTGTTCCTTCAAAACGTGTGTGAACATGACTATCCACAACTTCCTTTCATTTTTAGGCCTAAATAAATTTTGTCTTTTTGTTATCTCTCTTAATCCCTGTTCTGCTATGCGCCGTATTCTTCTTCCCCACTTGCTTTCAATATGTCTTGCGAGTGTCAAATTCTCTAAGCCGTCTTTCCTCATAATGCGACATGTCTCTTTTTGATGCTACAACTAAGTGTCCGTTTTGTTTGTATTTTCTTTAAAACTTACGTATTTACTCCATTGTATTCTCAGCATCCATCTGTAGAACCACATTTCTGTTGTGTTGCCTCTTCTTCATCAATAGATATTCAACACTAATTCATTAGATATCTAATACTAATTAGTTAGATATTCAATACTAATTGGTTAGATAGACAACACTAATTGGTTGAATATTTAATATTAATTGGCTAGATATTCAATACTAATTGGTTAGATATTCAACTCTATTTGACTAAATATTCAATACTAATTGATTAGGTATTCAACACTAATTGATTAGATAGTCAATACTAATTGGGTAGATATTCAACACTAATTGATTATGTATACAACACTAATTGGCTATATATTCAATATTGATTGGTTAGATATTCTTTTCTAATTGGTTAGATATTCAACACTAATTGATTAGATATTCAGTATTAAATGGTTAGATATTCAACACTAATTGGTTGGATATTTAATACTAATTGGATAGATATTCAACACTAATTGCTTAGATATTCAATAGTAATGGGATAGATGTTCAATACTAATTGATTAGATATTCAATACTAATTTGTTAGATATTTAACACTAATTAGTTAGATATTCAACACTAATTGGTTAGATATTCAATACTAATTGGCTAGATATTCAATACTAATCGGATAGATATTCGACACTAATTGATTAGATATTAAATACGAATTGGTTAGATATTCAATACTAATTGATTAGATATCAACTATCAAGAATTCTCAAGTTTTCATCAGGAAAACGCTAGAATATCACGTTTTGGCTTGGTTTGGTTTGGTTTATTCTTTTTTACGGCATATGGATTATTTAATGCCAACTACATCCATGTAGATACTGACCCGGCCCGATGTTGCTTAACTTCGATGATCATACGAGAACCGGTGTTTCAACGTGAGCTGTCCGTAAGACTTACCACCCGCACCTCCAAGTTTACAGCACCTGGTATTTTCTAGCGGTCACCCATCAAATTATTGACCAGGCTCGACGTTGCTTAACTTCGGTGATCCGGACCTACGGGAAATCGCTGTTTTCTCTGGTAGAGCTCGATCCAGGGTTTCTGAGTACGCCGATTTACATTTATCGTGTCGTGCTGTCACGACATTAAGGTGGTACAGAAGGCGCTTGGACGGCACGAGAATGTGACAGGGGCCAAGATTAACCGTAACAAGTCTTCCGGCTTGCGACTATGTGCCTGGAAGAGGGTCGGACTTCCGGGGCCTTTTGTTGAACTGATGGACCCGTCTGCATTCTTGGAGTGTGGTTCGGGCCTGGAATCCAGCTGAAGGAGTATTGGTCAGAAGTACAGGCAAAGGTCCGGACTTGACTCCGAAGGAGGTTGTCCTTAAAGAGTAAGGCTGACGTGTGTACCACTTACATCTTGCTCCTCATCCTTTACCGCTTGGCTGTACTTCCTCTTTTCAGGATCCATATTGAGGCGATCGAGCGTTTGTTGATCACCCTCTTGTCGGGTGGTCACAAACACCAAGTCGTAAAGAAGATGCGAGATGAACGTTATTCGCACCAGGATCTGGATAAAAATCAGATCTGATAGAAAGCGTTTGATTTCGACAGATTTCAGCGAAAGGTGGGTGACTGACGTGAGCCTGGTTCGTGTGGACGAGGCTAAACTTGATTTTCTCCCTTAAGTCCCCTTGATGCGTCGCGACCAAGCAAGGACGAATGTTGGATTATAAACACAAATCCTTGTCAGACTCTCGAAAGTTCATATCTGCGTATCCGAAAACAAAGCAATTTCTAAAGAACTATTGGATTTTTTTTTTATTTATTAACCC